CCTCTCTTTCGGCGTTTACTTGTTCCCAGTATAGTTTAGCTTTAGTTCTGTTTGCTGTTTTCTACTTGTGTTTTATATTTACAATAAACCTCCTCCACGCGTGCCTGCATTTGGATCCTCCTTTATTTTTCTCCACACGGCTCATCCTACTCACCGTGACATTAGTGGCCATTCAAGTCTTTATGTCTTTAAGACATTCCTGCAATTTGAATAAATAAGTTATAGTTATAAGTATCCAAGTATATTTCACAAATTAAACGCATATGTTGTGAGGGGGGAGTGTAGATATTACTGATACTCATGACCATAGATTTGAAGGTTTAAGTTTATGTGTTTGTTTTGCTGACTCATTCGTTTCCACGGTCAGACCACATCCTATGAGCTGAACATATAAAGCTGAGCATCACAGTGAGTTTCAGTGCATTCAGCGTCTGATCAAAGAGAGGGAAGAAGAAATGTCCTGCCTGAAGAATTTCAGTCTTCTCATCTCATGTGTGCTCCTCTCCATCATCCAGCCAGGTGAGTGATGTTTTCCACTCAGTTTTTACTTACTTTTTTTGGACAATATTTGCTGTTTGTGTGACACAATAAAAATATAAAAACCATACAGTACGTGGTTGAGATGTAATATTTTAACATATATTTTATATATCTAAGATATATTTTGTACATTTCAAGGACTCTTCTGTTATTGGAGTGTATTTTTTATGTATCTGTATTATATTATACATATACATTAACAATGAATCTCTGTCCAAAAAATGCACTCAGTTTACTTTTTACTCACTGTGAGCATCACTCATTATTCTCCCGCAGTAATTAAGGTTAGGATATGTATTTTTTTATTCCAATCCATTTAAATAACCTTGATCAGATTTGATGGTTTTGTTACAGACTTTAAAAAAGTGTTTTGCTTTTCTTTCACAAATGTGGGATTAAATTGTGTTAAAATGCACAAAACAGTGATGTCATGTTTTGTGACGAGGACCCAGGCACAGAGAGACTTGATGAATTTAAGAATCTTATGATTTAATAAAGAAATTTGCAGACTTGCACAGAGATGGTAAAATTATGATGACTGATAACGGAAACGAAGACAACAGACGACGAGGACGAGGACAGGGAGGAACAGGGGTTTAAATGCACCAAGGAGACAGAACTCCGGACAACTGGAGACATTTAGGGATGCAGGGACTGACAGACGGGGTAGAAGTCTCATCGTGACAAGTAAAGTTTATCTTGCCTGGCTGGGCAGCTCTCTGGGTGCTCTGTAATTTCCACTGTAATTTAATTTACTTATTGACATTTTTAATCTTCATGTAAACGAGCATAATGCAACGTCACACTGCTGATATCTTCAATGTGGCTATAGCTCAGGTGGCAGAGCAGGTCAGTTACTGAAGGTTGGCGGTTCGATCCCAGGCTGGTCCAGTCTGCATGCCAAATAGCTTTGAGCAAGATTCTAACCCCATGTTGCTCTCCGTAGTATCAATGTTAGATACTTAAGTGAATGAATTAGTTGTATGAAGTGCTTTGAGTGATCAGACAGAGTAGAAAAGCGCTATATAAGAACCAGTCCATTTCACTCATCTGCTGATTTATGTGTCCTGATATTTTGTTTCTGTTTCAGGTCGTGGGTCTGAGATTATTAATGGGAAGGAAGTCGAGCCACACTCACTGCCTTACATGGCTTATGTGAGAAGTGTGGCTAATTATATGTGTGGAGGGACATTAATCCATCCACAGTGGGTGCTGACAGCTGCCCACTGCACTGGGTAAGAATCTGAGACCTTATTTTAAAAATAATGCAGTATTTATTTTCAATGACTATTATTCCTTCAGTAACTACCCAGAGGTCACTACCCTCACCTGTGGTCACGAGCTCTGGGTAGTTACTGAAAGAATGAGATCAGGGCCAGAGCAGCAGAAATGTGCTTTCTGTAAGCCATGACTGGCCTCTTCTTTAGAGAAATGGTCATTCATCCAGTCATTGGAGAGAAGCTCAGCTGCTTCTCTTCCACAGTCAAAATAATACACACTGCTATAATTATGCATGCAAAGCTAATAAAATTTAATGGAGAGAATGAATATAAAGAATATTTAAAGTTGAATTCTTGTTCATAGATTTATTTGTTTTACAGAGGTGTTCTAGAAAATGTTATTTGTGATGGAATAACAAGGAAAGTACGGAGCCCTGTGAGGGACATGGGAGGAAAATAAATGAAAATAAAATTTTGCGAGATCCTGAGTTACTTTTGTGAGATCTCGGGATCTCTCAAAATCTTAGGCCACATCCTTCGGAGGCCGCCAGAAGGAAGCTGACAGGGAGGTCGAGGCACAGTGTGCCGGGAGTGCGGTATTCTCGCCGTCTCTTTGGGCCTCGACCTCCCAGTCAGCTATCGAGCGCAGCGGGTGGGTAACAGACGACTACGAAAACATCGGAGCACTTTTTACAAATATGTGATGTCTTGATAAACCAATCAGATATTTGAAGTTTACACAGCTACATTTTTTCCTGAAAATATCTTAAAATTTTATTTTGTGACCCAGAAAGAATAATATTAAAACTAAGTAGCTGCCACCATTGTTGGAAACTGGAATTGGCTGGGCTGCGCTATGAATTCTGGGATAGGATGGGCCACAAAGGACACACCTACTTTTGCGAGGTCTTGCAAAAGTTCATCTTCATTTTTTTCCTTCCATGTTTGTTGCGGGGGAAAGAAGTGTTGCACTCACTTAAAATAACACAGAAGCCACAGCGACATACACATCAAACATTTGATACATTTCTTCATCTAAAACATTTTCTGTACATTTTAATTTCTTCATTCAGCTTGAAGAAAAAATAACGCAGATTCACCCAAAGCTCAGTAACAGCTATAACCCAGCCATATGTAGTAATACACAATAATAAGGAACTATGATGACTGTTTTAGAAGCCGCTGTTAACCTTTTAAATATGTAAACCTTCATCACCAGATTGTGTTTTTTCTTTTACAGGAGTTACTGGGTGATGCTGGGAGCCCACTCCAGAACGAAAAACGAATATTCCAAGCAACTCCGATTCGTCGAGAAAAGTTTTCCTCATCCTGGCTACTGTTGTGCAAAGCACGACAATGACCTCATGTTGCTGAAGGTAAGGTGATATATCAGGGTCTGATGATGATGATGATGATGAGATGATGAGATAGCCGTTATTTGTCAGTTGCAGGTCTTTTGCCCACAACCGATACAAACGATGTAAATGCACTGCTTCTTATTTAGCACCTTTCTGCTCTACCTGAGCACTCAGAGCGTTACACAACATGGCTTATTCACCCAAACACATCTTTCTGTGCTTAAGTGCTTTCTAACACTCGCACACACTCACACTCTAACGTAGCATCAGAGAGCATCGTGGGGTTCAGTATCTTGACATGCAGACTGGAGAGACCAGGGATCAAACACCAAACCATCCTATTAGTAGATAACCTGCTGTACCTCCTACAGCCAACTCAGGTTTTGCTTACTTAACTAAAACTTAATTTCATTTTTTAAAATATAAAATGTTTTTCCATGTCTTTATAGACATGTTTCAACTCAGCACTGCACATACTTCATATTTTCCAAGCAAAATATTAGAAATAAATGAGTGGTGCTACAACTCTTTAGCAAATATCTGTTTATTTAATGTAGTTAATGTGGAGAGATTCATCACCAATATCTGAGATTCTTTTTAACTTTTTTTCAGCTTAAAGAACCGGTGAGGAAAACCAGGGCAGTGCAGTGGCTCGAGTTTGGCGACACTGTGAAAGACCCGGCAGCTGGCAGCACGTGTCTGGTGGCCGGATGGGGAGTAACTGAAAACAACCAAACATCAGACGTCCTCATGTCTGTCAATGTGACTGTGGTGGACAGACAGACGTGCAACTCTCGTGATTATTACAACCACGGCCCTGTTATCACTGATGACATGATATGTGCTGGTTCAGATGGTACAAACGTCGCTGATACCTGTCAGGTACGTATGAAGAATCCATGTATTTTTCCTTGTTTGAAGTAAATGTTCATTCAGCTCAACACCTGAAACACTGTCATGTGTTTGTTCTTGCTGCAGGGGGATTCAGGGGGGCCGCTGTTGTGTGATGGAGCGCTGGTTGGAGTCACTTCTTTTGGAGAGGATTGTGGTGTCATTAAAAAACCTGGAGTCTACTCGTTTGTCTCAGAGGGACAACTGTACTGGATCAAAACCACGATGAAGTTATTCTAAATGTCTTGAAACCACAGCATGATTTGATTTTACAGGTGTCAAACTCCAGGCCTCGAGGGCCGGTGTCCTGCAGGTTTTAGATGTGTCCTTGATCCATCACAGCTGATTTAAATGCCTTAATTACCTCCTCAACATGTTTTGAAGTTCTTATGAAAGGTACTGGTAATGAACTCATCATTTGATTCAGGTGTGTTGACCCAGGGTGAGATTTAAGACCTGCGGGACACCGGCCCTCGAGGCTTGGAGTTCGACACCCCTGCTGTAGACCATTATCTGGTTTATAATTTCATTGCTCCTTTTAAATTTTATGACAGCTTAGTTTCTGCTAGCTTGCTGCACTTTTTTTTATAGATTCTGCACTTGGCTAGTCTGCTGCATACACAATTGGAAACACAGTTTGGCATTTTACCCTCTTTCACCATACAAACTGTACAGAAACAGGGTTATTTCTAATAATAATTTTTTCAAATAAATTAAAGAATTCCCAAACATAAGTGTTCCTGGTTGTTGCAGTGAAAACCAGGGAGAAGCATTTTTTATGTATATACAAAACCAATGAACGTAAAATATTATTGTATTATATCCTACTGTTTTATTGTAGGGTCTACTTTACAATATAAAGCACCTTGAGGTGACTGTTGCTGTGATTTGGTGATGTTTGAATAAAATTTAATTTAATATAATTGAAATTGAAAATAAAAAAGTGAGATATTCAGACTGTCAAACAGATTCAACACATCTTATACAACCAACTGAAAATGAGGCTTGTGGACAGTTTTTTTGAAAAAGACATTCTTTACATTCTTATTTGTTCCATTTCACATTATGACTGTGTGCTTGATATACTTGCTACTTTTTTACTTTCTAATAAAGCTGGAGGCATGAATAAATAAAGACACAATTCCTTCTCTTTTTCTTTATTTGTTTGCACTGCAGTTTCAAACTGTACCTTTCAAATGTCATTGTTAAAATGCTTAGAGAGTTTTATTGTCATTGTGCAGTTTCTTGCAAAGTGAAAGTGGGTAGCTGGGCCACAAGGTGCAAAAGTAAAGAAGGGAAAACAATATACAATGAGGGGGGGAAATAAATAAAAACCAATATATATGTATACGTGTGTGTGAGTGAACTAACATACATGGTGTATACATAGGAAAGATTGAAACAGAAACATAACTACAGTATGCAACTGTACAGAATAGAATAAAATAAAATACTATATACAGTAGAATAAAATAGAATAAAATATACAATAGGATAAAAATAGAATACAAATTCTGTATACAACTGAGTAAAAATACAACGATGCCAGAAAGGAATATTGCACTTAGTGTTATTGCACATGTGTGGATGTGTGTGTTTGATCAGTTGGAGTCTTTGTTGTGGAGTCTGACAGCAGTGGGGAGGAAAGACCTGCGAAATCTCTCCGTCCCACACCGTGGGTGTAGATGATCAATAGCAGCATTAGAGTGGATGTGTTGGAGAAGTCTGCCACCAAGGACTTGTTTAACTTCCTCAGTGCCCTCACCCCCAGTGATGGGCAAGTCTTTCCCCTCATCTTCAGACTCTGCTTCCTCTACAAAAGACATGTCACTGGGATTAAGGAAGTCCTTGAAATATTCCTTCCACCAGCATGCAATATCCTCAGTTCAAATGATCAGCGCTCCACTCACACTATACACAGTGCAGATATATCACTGCTTTCCCCTCTTGAGTTCCCTGATGGTTTGCCAGAATCTCTTCGAGGCAGTCCAAAAGTCTTTTTCCATGGCCTCTTCGAATTCCTCCCACACCCAGGTTTTTGCTTCACCCACTGTAAAAGCTGCGTTCCACATGGCCTGTCAGTACATATCTACTGCCTCTGAAATCCCACAGGCTAACTAAGCTTGATAGGACTCCTTGTGCCTGATTCTTCCCTTTACCTCCAGTGTCTACCATCTGGTTCAGGGTTACCACCGCGA